TTGGAAAGAGACGTGGTGGCTGCTTTGGGGGGCGGGAGGAAGCAGCAGCTGCTGCCACAGCCAGAGCAGCTCTGCTGAAAGCCAAGTGCTCTGTTCTTTCTGTGCCGAGCAGTGGAGAGAATATTAAATCCCTGCTGTTCCTCGGGGGAAGCGTGATCCAAGGGAGGGCTGGGAACCCTGGGCTGTGTTCTTGGCTCTGTGTGACCTTGAGTGAGGCAGCAGCAGCTTGGGGTGGGCACCTCCCTCCATCCCTCCCTCCGGAGGGACTGGGGGCTGCACCTCCTCTGGTCCCGCTCTGGGACTCACAGAGCTGGGCCTGCCTCTGCTCGCCCTCCCAGCTCAAAGCTCCCCAAACCCGGCCCTGCTCTGCCCTCCTCCATGGGAGCCGGTGTTAATTAACCTGCTCTTAATGCCCTGAGGGTGCTGCTTGATCTGAACACAAAACTTCTTCAGTTTAAACTTCTTTTAAACTGCTTTTTCCTGTCCCCAAAAAAGCCGAGTGTTTCTTAAAATGTCCTAAAACACTCTTGTCTACAAGAGTTTGCAGATCTGTCGGCTCCTCTGATCCCTCAGCTCGCTGCAGGATTGTTTGGCACCCTAAAAAGGGAATGGTCGTCTTCTTTTGGGGATTGAGACTCCTGAGAGGAATTAGCTGGGAGATCTCCTGGGAGGAGGAGCTGTTCTTTATGGAACAGGCTCTGCTGGAGATTGAAATACAAATGGTGTGGGAGGCCCCCAGCCGCTGTCCCGCGGGGAAGGCGATGGGAACAGGGAGCAGGGTGGCTCTGGGTGGAGGATTTGCAGCTGGAGGATGAAGCTGAGTTAATTTCCTGAGTGGTAATGACAGAGGAAGCAGCAGGTGCTGGGGAAACCAGGCAAAAAAGGCTCTTCCTCAAGAATTTGGGACTTGAGAGTGGCTTGGGAGGCATTTCTCTCCCAAAAACCCACCCTGTAGGGCTTTATTTTTAGGTGGATTGTGTGGATGGAGAACAGATGTTCTTGAGGACTTATTTTTAAAACAAAATCACTCTTCAAGCTACGAAATTAGCTCAGAAAAGTCACTCCTTGCCCTGAAAGATGCTTGAACGGAAAACTTCCCGGCATCTCCATTCCCAAAGTGTGTGGGATAAAGGTGTGACGGCAGCTGTGGCTGCGGGAAAGCCACGTCAGGGGAAACTCGGGGTGCTCGGGGGTGTCAGGGGTTTGATGTCTGTGCTGGGCCGTGCAGAGGAACCGGAGCGGCTCAGGAATCCCAGGGTCCCCCAAGGAGGAGCGGGGTGTGTCTGTGCTGGCCAAAACAAGGCTGCAAATCCATCTTGGACAATCCTCTCGGAGGGATCACAGCCAGGACAGCCCTCCCTCCCTCCCACCCTGCCAACCCACCGCTGTTTCCTTCTGGAAACTTCTGTTCCTGTGCAGGAAGCAGCAATTAAAAGTGCCTTGGTTAATTGGCTGATGCAGCCAGGGCCTCGTGGTACAATTGTGGCCTCATGGGATGAGTTGGGTGGGATGAGAATAGAAGCCTTTCTTGTTCCCGGACACCTTCCAGGCTGCTCCAAGCCCCATCCAACCTCGATGCTCCCTCCAACCATCCTCAGCATTCTCCAGGCCTTCCCTCACAGCTTGGCCATCCTGCTATCCTGTCCCCATGGACGCTTGTCCCAAAGGCACCTTATCCTCGTGGTCCCTCTGTCCCCTGACCACAGGGCCTCTTGTCCCCAATG